TTGCACGGCCGGTCCGTCCAGGGCAATAGGGTGACCCGGGCGGCCTGGCTGGTAGCCTAGTTTTCTGAAAAATAAAATCTGAAAAGACCATCATGGCCACCGAGGACAAGGCTAAGGGACCTGCTGAAGGCGGGGAGACGTCTACGAGGCCTGAGCCAGGCAGGGAAGATCAGAAACCCCTGACTGAGGAAGAGCTCATGGACGCCTGCAGATGCAGTTCACGAAGTAGAGAGACTAAAGAGGGAGAAGGTAGAGGCAACTAAGAGAGGGGAAGCAGAAGCCAGAAGATCTGAGTTGCTGGACACTATTGCAAAGGTCCCTGCTGACGTCCGCATGGCTGATGTCACGCGGAATCTTGTAGAACTGCTACTGCTGGAATCCGCACACAACCGGGATGTTTTCACATCCTGGTATGAACAGATCTCAGCAATTGAGTCTCAGTTGTCATCTACTGACAGCAAACTGGAAAAGTTATCAGCAGCGTTCTTCAAGCATTTCCCTGCTACTCATGTACCCTCTCCTCACCCTACTGTCCCTCCTCCTCTTAGTCCTCCGCCGACACCCATACCACAATCATCCCGTCTTGGTTCTCCCAAGACTCCACCGCCTCCTCCAAAAGAGAAGGTGGCGCAAGTCTCTGGGACTGTGCCCACAGAGGAACCGAGTTCCAGCACTGTGCAGAAGCAACTGTGATTTCCCAAGATGGCCCAACCTGAGAAGTTCACTGGGGAAGACCCCAAAGTGGATATCTCAGACTAGACAGCCCAGATGAGGTCCTACCTCAGGGGCTATACCTGCCTAGAGGTGGACAAGGCACGTGCCACAGTGACCCTCCTGTCAGGGGGCGCACTAAAGTGGGCAAATTCTGAGGCCAACAAGGCTCAAAAGCAGCTGGATGATTGGATTGTCGCAATTGATCTGGATGCCATCTTTCAAGATCTGGAAACCACGTTTGCAGACAAGGAAAAGGCCCGCAAAGCAAATGACGAGCTTGTGAGACTAGGCCAGAGTAAGTGGCATGGATCACTCTCCAAGCTCTATGCAGAGTGAGAGAAGGTAACCTCCACACCTGGTTTGGAAATGTCTGAGCAGGACAAGTTGACATGGTTTGTCAGGGCTGCTCCAAAGACATATGCCAAGGCCCTGTTTACTGCGGGCCACAAAGACAGGAGGTCGTTGGGCAGGGCAGCGTTGGACATGGAGGCCACACTCCATCTCCAGACCTCTTCTGAAAGCGGAAGCACCTCCTCTTCCCAAAACAGGAGAAAGGGAAAGGGAGGATTGTATGTTGCAGGATCTGATGATGACTTTGCAGGCTCTGACCAGGGAGGACCTGTTCCCTTGACTGGTCTAGATGCACGAGCCACACCAGATCAGGCTTCCATTACACGTGGTTAACCAGGGGTGTTATTTTCAACGAATTTTGCACCGAATTGCGCTTAAACTGTCATACTGTGCTTTTTTTCTTGTTTTTCTTTTTGTGTGATATATATGTGCTTTAGGGTACGTCATGTGTGCAGTTTTTACATGTTTGGATCAATAATGAAAAAGTTGGCATTTTGTTGAATTCGTTGGACGCTTCATTTTGACTCGGACAGTGTCTTTGTGTTAGGGTTTCATAGTGTTTTTTTGTTTTTTTTTTCATTCTTTTTTGCCTGTTTCCTTTTTTGATGTTTGCATTATGGTCTCATATCGCTTGTTTTTAAAAATTTTGATGAAATTCGCACCGCAATTGCCAACGAAAACGGCGAATATTTGGGCCCCCGTTAACCGTCTCTCGCTTCCATGTTGTTGGGTCAAACTCTGATGAGCCTGATGAAGGGCAAAACTCAGTTTCAGCCCCAAAGGCCCTCCAGTCCTAAGGGTTCAGGCAAACGCCCAGGTGGCCCGCAGGTACCCAATCTTTCGAAGGGTGCCACGTGTCTAGCTAATCCCATGGATCCTGCCACATTTCCCTGGAGAAGTCTCAAGATTGCTGAGGGGACATGGCAAAAAAGAAAGGATCAGGGAGTTTGCCTCAGATGTGCTAAAAAGCACTTCGTGAAGGACTGCCCCACTTGGGGCACTAATGCTTCAAAAAATTGAACAGGCCAGCAGAGGTAGCAGCCTCCCCTGCTGAACTGCATTCACCTTCTTTTGAAGGTGAATCAGTCTCTGAGCCTGATTGTGTTGAGGCTGCAACTGACTCTTTGTATGCGTACACTGAGCCTTTCTTGGATGAGCCCTTATCTGAGGAAGAGACTGATCAGCTCTGCTCCCTTCATCTCCAACTGAAGCAGAAGAGAAAAGTGAAGTCAGATCTGATCTTTCTCAAACATCTGTCAAGGGCTCAACTTATGTATAATACTTCCGTTCACAGCACTACAGGCTTTACACCCTATAGGCTTCACTTTGCCAATGACAAAACTAAGCCTAATCTAATCCTGGGACCTGCAGAGTTCACCAAGAGTTATGAGAAAGACCTAGAGAAAGCCAGAACAAACATGTTCAAGGCTCAGAAAAGGACGATAGAGCAAGCTAATAAGCATTGTTCTCCCTCTCCTATTCGGCCTGGTCACCGGTTTGGGTGAAAAGATCAGCGTTAACTGATGAACAGGATATATCACGAAATTTGTTGCATGTATACTATGGCCCATGGCAGGTACTTGATACTGTGGGAGCAGACCCTTTTGGGCCTTCTTATGTACTTTCTGTACCCCCACATATCAGGACCTATCCTGTCTCCATGCCTCAAAACTGCTGCCTTTCACTCCTGCTGACGCGTTTCTTGATCGGCCACCGCAGTTTGGGCTTCCTATCCCTCGAAAGGGATATGAAGTCGAGAGCATTGAGGTCCAATGGGGCACTGGCCCCGACTGTGAATATCTTGTCAAGTTCCTCTTCCAACCTCATACTGAGGACCGTTGGTTTACAAGAAAGGAACTTCTCAAGTCTGCCAATTCAGTTGTGCGGTTCTACGAAGCTGAACAAAGTGGGAAATTGCTCAGGCGGTCTCCTTGCGGACACTCCTAGCTCGGGGTCCTCGCTCCCCTCGAGGGTAGGAATGCAATGAATTGCAGTGCTATAAGCGGGCTGTATACTAATTTTGTCCTCTGCGTCGTTGTCGGGACTTGATCCCGCAACCTTCGTATGCTGTGTTGCCTGCTTGTTTGCTGTTTGTTTGTTTTGAGCCTTGCGGGACTTGATCCCGTGACCTGTAATCTATGTGTTTGGTTTGTGAGTGTTGAGCCGTATGGGACTTGATCCCTGAGTCTGTTACTAGTAGTCTATGTTTGGTAGTCCTAGGCCATTCAGCCTTTTCCTTTTGCTTTGTCGTAGGTCTAGGTCCCCTTTCCCCCTGTTTCCATCTAGATACAGGTGGGTCTTGGGTTGTTGCTTGGGGAGTCCGTCACAGGTCTAGGCACAGGGTAGAAGTAGCGGGCAGGAAATCTGGGTCGGGTCTTTTCTCGTTTTCTGCTCGGGGAAACTCTGCCCGTTCGTTGCCGTAGCGTTGCTGCATTATTTTTGGGCGAGGGCATCTTCTTCCTCGAAGCCCAGCCATAGCTGGGGCTGGGACACGAAGTTGGAGATCGTACTGCTGCTATTCAGCAGCTCTGCACGGGAGCTTCACCAGGACTGTGTTGTTGGGTTTGGGCGCTGCCTTTCTCCACTTGGCGGCCATATCTGCTATATCTGCTGTTCCTCCTCATGAGGAACTTCGTTTTTCTTTTCTGCGAAGTGCTGGATCGGTTGTCGCGTTCTTCATCAGGACTCCCAGCGCTGCACTTCAGTGCAGGCGCTGAGCTGGCGCTGCTATCATTGGGGCTGCTGGTTCAGATTGGCACGTTGTGACAGCTGTGGGGTTACTGCTGCTACGGCATCCATAGCCAGGGGTATGAGGTGGCGAGGAGGAAGACGAAGACTCCTGCAGACTTCGTTGAACACCTGTTTTGGTTGTTCGGGGTTGTTGCAAACGCGGTTGTGATTCTTGGAACATGTACTTTGGATTGATTGGAGGAGGACGGGAATTACAGAATTGAAATTCGTTTTCAATTCTCTGTGTTTTTCGAGCTTCCGCTGTGCATATCTTCTCTCCGGTTTTGTGTGGATTTGCCTCCTTCGAGTCTACTCTGCAATTGCATGCGTGTATGGGAACGTGTGAATTCATTGTGGATTGAAGTTCAATCGGGTACATAACATTCTTCTCCTTTCTTTCTTCTTTTTCTTCTTCTTCTTCTTCTTTCCCTCTCTCTCCTCTCAAGTTCATTCATTTCTTCTTGCAATTGGACGGCATTGTACTTTCTGATGAATGTGTACTTTGAAATTGGCCAGGATCATAACAATATCGCATTTCACTCACATTCTCAAACTTCCCAGCAACACATGATCTGTATTCCAAGGAGCTTCAATGTGCAGTTATAACCAAAACATCCATTATTGCAGTGAAGTGGTCAGACGAAACTCACCCAGAATCATCGTCCAAAAGGAAGGAATTGCTCACAGCATTATTAGAATCTTCTGTCATCAAAATCCTCATGTTCTGAATAACCTGCACACCAAAACAGAAAGCGAGGACACCAAGTGTCCTGTGAGTACTCGGAGAAGACCATGAATCAGCTATCCAAGGTCACCAAGCTCTTTCTCTCTTCTCTCGTAGTCTGCAGATGCAGTGAAGTCAGATGATGAGAGGGTGAGAGGGAGATGGTGGACTGAGAAGAGGAAGAAGAAGAWCTCTCTCTCTCTGTTACGAGCCAGATACTAACCTGTGATGTGGGCGCTGTGCTGCAGGTACCTCGAAGACGAAGCTGGAGCAACGGCGCTGCAGGTAGGTACCCAAGGCCTCCGCCCAATTTCTCTCTCTCTCTAGTGCTATCCTAGCTATGGCACCCAGCGCTGGAGACTACAGCTACCTACTGCGCCCAGCGCTGAAGACTAAAGGCTAACGCTACTACTACTCCCTGCAGTGCTCCCTCCAGAGTGCTGCGGCCGAATCCTGAAGACTACTGCCTCCTCCCTGCCCGTGAAGTGCATGGGAAGTCCCTATGTACTACCTCGGCCTGCCTCCTGACTGCCTGAAGGGTGAGCCAGGCCGAGGAGGCTGCTCTTGCCAATGCCGAAGTGTGCCAGGGGCTGGCTGCAGCAGCTGGTGAGGCTGGCGTGGGGAACAGGGTAAGAATAGCCTGTTCCCGAAACCCTGGTTCGGTGCCTGAGTTTCAGGGCCGGTCGTTCTGATGAACGACCGAAAATGGCCCTTTGTTTCAGACTAAAAAGGCTGTTGCCATTTTAGTCTGAAACGACACAGGGACTGTACACCCCTGTTTTCAGGCTTTCGGGCTGAACAGTCACGGGGCCTGTAGGCCCTGGTTTTCAGGCTTTAAGCCTGAATTTCAGGCTTTCAGCCTGAGGGACGCAGGGCCTGGAAAATGGCCCTCGTGTGCAGGCGCAGCATGTAACACCCCCCCCTCCTTATGAAGTCAAGCCGGGGCGAGGGCGAAGCCGACGATCTGAAGGTGGAACCTGGACGCGGGCGCGGCGTGCAGCCGAAGAAACCGTCTTGCCTTGCATCTTGCGTTCGTAGCGTGCGAGAACGTCTGGAGCTGTTGCCTGAAGTTCCGTACGGGTCAACCAACGGTCAGCTCGGTGTGTGCAGTAGGCAAAACGCACTAAATACTCGGTTGGCCTGTTGCCGTAGCGTCGCTGGGAGATGATGTCGCCGACCTCCTGAAAACCATCTATGGAGGGTGGGTCTTGCGAACGTCTTCCGGGAAAATCGTCATGTTCTGCTGGCGTGTAAAGAGTCAACTTGGAGCGATGAAAAACTGGGTAGACGGGCAAGTGGCCAGGCACCTGAATCGTGAAGGAAGGTCCCTCGGGTGCGTCTCCAGCGGGTGCTACGATCGGCCAAGGCCCCATCCATTTCGGGAGGAGCTTGCGAGAGATGTCTTGTTCAAGGCTGAATTCCGCTGCGGAAACCCAAACGAGGTCCCCTGCGCGGAATGGGCAAGGAAGACGCTGGCGATTGGCCTGCTGACTCATGCGTTGCTGCGTCTTAGCCATCTGATCGCGTGCCTTGACAAGAAGCTCTTGCATCCGACGCAAGAAAAGAAGATGGTCGTCGCTCTCAGCCGTTCGTGGAGTAATAGTGTCCAAACTCAAAGGGCGACATCCCGATAGCCGGGTGGATAGAGGAGTTGTAGGCCAACTCGACATCCGGCAGCCGCTCAACCCAGTCCTTCTGGTCGGGGCAAATGAGAGTGCGAAGGACAACCTGTGCGGTCTGATGCGCCCTCTCCGTCTGGCCATCGGTCTGAGGGTGGCGAGCTGAACTGGGCTTGAGAGATGAGCCCCATCGCTTGATGAGCGCCAACCAAAAATCGGACATGAACCGAGTGTCGCGGTCACAGACGATTTCCTTGGGGTAACCCTTGGTTCGAATCCAACCGGCGTAGAGAACCTCGGCCAACTCCGGTGCCTTGGCATGAAAGCGACAAGGCAAAAACATGGCGATCTTGGTGAGTCGGTCGACCACCATGAGAATCCCATCCACTCCGGTCTTGTGCTTAGGGAACGGGCCGGTAATGTCAATGGCAATTGCTTCCCTTCGCCTCAACGGGACCGGTAATGGTCGTAACTCGCCGGACGGACGATGGTTGCGGGATTTGCAGCGTCGGCAAACCTCGCATGACTCGCAATAGCGCGTGACGTCGCTGAGAATCGCTCGCGAAGTCGGTCAATCGTTCGATTGACTCCAAAGTGTCCGGTGGCGGGGGCATCGTGGAACTCGCCCACAAGTGGTTATCGGGTAGCTGAAAATTCAAGAATGAAAATTCTGAAGTGAGAGTTTTTGGCAGTCTGAAAATCCTGAATGGTTCTGAAGTGATGAAAGGTCCTAAGACCCTGAAAACCACCTGTTTAGGCAGGCTGCATCTTGAAGTGGTGAAGGGTGTCCTGAAGTGGTCAAGTGAAAGTTTTGGGCAGTCTGGAAATCATGAATGGTTCTGAAGTGGTGAAAGATCCGAAGACCATGAAAGTCACCCTTCACCACTTGCCGATGCAGTCTGCCTAAACAGGTGGTTTTCAGGGTCTTCGGAGCTTTCACCACTTCAGGACCATTCATGATTTTCAGACCTGAATAGTCTTGAAGTGGTGAAAGGTCTGAAGACCTTGAAAACCACCTGTTTAGGCAGGCTGCATCCTGAAGTGGTGAAGGGTGTCCTGAAGTGGTGATGAAAAATACTACTGTTGTTAACAAGCAAGTGTGGATCACTCAGGACGCAAAGAAGGTCCTTCCCCCGCGTGTGGACAAGCAAGTACCCCTCTTGGATCCGGTAGTGAGAGGGCGCCGGATTAGGAGAGGAGCAATTCGCGTACTTGTCGCGAAACTCGGGGTCGGCTTGGTAGCCGCGGATGAAGCTGTTCCGCAGGTCATCGTCGATCTCGAAGGTTGAGTAGACCGCGGTACAATGATCCGGACGCCGTGAAAGAGCATCCGCAAAACGGTTCGACTTCCCGGGAATGTGATCGGGAAAAAAGTTGAACTGGTCGATGAAAGCCATCCATCGAGCGATGGTGCTGTTGACGGTGTCTTGGGTCTTGTAAAAGACCAACGGATGGTTGTCCGTTACCCATCGAAATTGGCTTCGACCAAGGAGGAAGTGCCGCCACCGTTTGAGCGTGTGGACGAAGGCGAGGAACTCCTTCTTGCGTGCATCGTCAATGGAATGCACGATGGGCACTTTCTTGCTGAAATACTCGACCGGGTGCCATTCCACACCATCATGCTGCTCGAGGACTGCACCAATGCCACAGCCTGACGCATCCGTAGTGACGCGTGTAGGCAAAAGTGAGTCGTATATCCGCAAGACCTCTGCAGACAATAGCGCGGTTTTGAGAGCCAAGAAAGATTCCCGCGCCTCCTCTCCGAAGTCAAACGGTCGATCCTCGCATTGAAGCTTGTTCAAGTGGGCCACGATCTTCGAGTAGCCTTTGATAAAACGCTGGTAGTAGCCGGCAAGGCCAAGGAACGAACGGACATCTATGACGTTCCGAGGCTCCGGCCACTCCTGGATGGCTTGAATCTTATCCAATAGCGGACTGATACCCTCCGGTGTGACAAAATGGCCCAAGTATTCCAGCTCTTGCCGGACAAAACGACCGCAACTCTGTCAATGTGCGGGGCGTCGACCAATCTTTGATCGCCGCGATCTTGCTGTCCTCTGGCTTAATGTCATCTCCGTCCAACACGTGGCCAAAGTATAAGACTTGCGTCTTGGCCCACTCGCACTTCTTCGCGTTGATCTTGAAGTTAGCCTCTCTAAGCTTCTCCAAGACCTGCCTCAGATGACCCTGGTGCTCCTGGAGGGTCTTRMTAMRGACTAGGATATCATCTAAGTAGACTACTACAAATTTATCTAACCATGGTCTAAACAGGTCATTCATACAATGCTGAAAAGTAGCTGGCGCGTTGGTTAGTCCAAAGGGCATCACTATAAACTCATAATGCCCATATCTAGTCCGGAACGCA